GTTGGTTTGGAATCAGGGTTTTTCCACTTCCTTAGGTGGATCCTCCGTATTCACAACCAACTCAGTTAAAGCGCCGAACATTCGTTTTTCGTCATCTCAATTTCATGAACACCAGTGCCGCAATAAGGCAATGAGTAGGACTTCCCTGGAAGTGACTGCATGCATGCGGCCATGTGAGGGCATTTCGAGAGGGAGAGCTGACTCTCCCCACCCTCAACCGCACCAGAGAATCTGAAAACCAATAAACTACCACTACTATCACCAAAAAGGTACAGGTATTTATACGCTGCTATCTACGTAAGATACTCCTACAGTATTGGTCAGAGGTCTGATTAACGGGTATTCAATGACAGTAAAAGGGAAGACCGAGCTCTACATGAGGCATCAGTCTTGGTCATTTATTTTGTGCTGTCAACTTTTATCATGGATGATGACTTGGGTATTTACGCATCTTATCCTTTAGATTTATTTATGACTAATCAACTTCGGGGTTATCACACATTGGCTCAAAACTATAAGAAAAATGAGTATGGGCGTTTTTAAGGTGTCAAGGTCTGAGACGCCCTACTCGGGCAAGTGATATATGTGTCACAAGTAGACAGCAGTGAGATTAGGACTTTGCAGAAACACTTGAAAAATAATGGGCATAGGTCAAATGAACTATTATCTCTATTATTCAGGGACGTAGAACTAAACAGATATAATTAATAATGTAAATAACATCAGACCATTAATTATAACGTGGGAGCGTGTATTGAATTACAGAAGTAAAAACCAGAAGCTAACGCGTACTCACTTTTTTTGGAAAACTGAATAGGAGATAGATATAATATAATCCATGAATGTTATTTCCGCATCACAATTTACTTTGCATACATCGTAAGTTGTAAAGTGTACGATTAGATAGATGAAGTTTTCATATTTTTATGTATCTGAAGAAAATAAACGTAATCCTAAATGTGGCATCAAATAGACTGTCTTTAAGTAGGTCTTGGACATTATCCTTTCAGATCTTAGCAAGCATTCATAGACACCGCCAAATCAAACGTTTAAACAAACAAACACAGAATAATCCATTACTTTAGTGATTTATCTGGTAAAGTTATCTACTAATATCTATCATTCTGAGATTTGTTTTTTGGTTATTAGTCTTGTAATGCGGAGGTTACAGTTTCTATGGGCGATCGGTTTGGTTGAGTGCGTTTCGAAACATTTTGTCCCATTAAATTATTGTCAAATACTCATATCATTAAGACGATATCCATTTGTAAGTGCTCATAATTTCCTTGCTTAGCAGTTGTCTTTCGAGTTTTTTAATCAACTAGCTGTCGATAACCAACTCAAGGTAGTTGTAAATAAAAGTGTACTTTGTGGAAAAAAACGAGACTCCATGGTGATGTTCTATGTGAATCGATGGGAAAATAGGAATTTGTCCATTTTCACTTGCTTCAGAGGGGTAGTGATACTTTAAATTAACTTATCGAGGGCAGATGTCTGAAAATTTCCATCCTTTCTCAAGAATTTATTGCAAATAGTTTATTTCATATTTAAAAAATGAAAGTTTTCCTAAAGTAGTCCGTCCTAGATAGAAAAGGCAGATTTCCTGTCGTGACTTACATTTTTTCAATTTTGTTTGCTTGCACCCTGCTTGCTGTCCTGTGAATTGTAGCTTATTTCACTCTCCTATCGACATTGAAATCACTTCATCCTTTTTATTCCTTCCGTCTTTTGCACTGACAGTCGTTTTTAGATGAAACCTACTTTCAGTGTCTTCTTGTAGTTTGTGTATTTTCTAATCATAAGTTTATAAGTCTTCAGTAATAATGATAGGTCTATTGACCTATATTAGTCCTTGCAGATTTGTTACCTTGTGAAGGTCCGATCTCATTTTGAATATGTCATCAAAAGGTGGTGATATTATGTGTTCCGGCAGAGAATCCCTGTAATTCACTACTTGGTGCGAGAAAAGAAACTTCAGACGTAGACGATTTGATCTCAGTTTTTGGACTTTCTTCGAATGTCCTCTCAAATGATCAATCCTAGACGGAAGGAAAAGATAAGACATATTAATACCAAAGTCATCGTTCAGGATACGATAAGTCAATATTAGATCACCCCGTATTCTACGGTAAGGTAACGGAAGTAAGTTGAGGTGTCTCAGTCTATCTTCATAAGATAGAGCAAATAGACCTTTTACCAATTTAGTCCCTCGGCGTTGGACTCTTTCCAGCATATCCGCCTCATATTTCAATCAAGGACTCGGTGCTTGAATTCCATATTCCAAATGTGATCGCACGAAAGTCGGATATAATAATCTAAACATTTTCTCATTCAAATACTGGAAAGATCTACGAATAGACCATAATATCCTATAGCCTTTTGCAGCAGCAGTATTAACTATTTAAATAAATATTGATGATTTTATGCAACTTGAAGATGGATTTTTCGCGAAGTATAGTTCAGTGAAACACTACTCTAAACTGTCAGGTGTAGGTTCGGACCTTGGTTGATGTACTTTGACCGAGCAATATCACGGGCCGTTAAACCGAATTGCGTGGCTTTAAGCTAATCATATGAACATGTATTTTAGTAATTGAGTTTCATTATCTCTGTCTAGAGGTTATTCACATTCGTCAAATAAAAAGGGAAGTGTGTATGACATTGATTGCTAATTTTTAATGTTCAAATATGTTTAAACCTTTCTACATCATAAGACTGCTTATGATCCACTTCGTTAAAAGCGTATTGTTTATAGCTCTCCCTAGGTAAATCGCATCAGTTAGTCTCACATTGCGACTGTGATACACGACTTTCACTCTACAACACAAGGAACTCACTGACCTGAAGCGTTTTTAAATACTTAGTATAATATCTTCCACAAAGTTATTAGACAAATGATAAGCATTACCACCGAAAATGTTCACTAAGTCCTATATGTTCATTTGCACTTAATGGATTCTGATCAGTTTAATGATATCAGGTGGGAGTAGAAGGTAACTAAATGTCTTTCTAATTGATGAATGTTTCATCAAAGACAAGCAGTTATCTTAGGCTGCCTCAGCTATCTGTTGAAAAAGTAAACCTGCAGCTGAAGTAAAGCTGTGTTACTCTGTTATCTGTAGATTGCACTATTTATAGTGACCACGATGACAACTGGCAGTTAAGCTAACAGGTTAAGCTGTTTGTCTGCACTCAAGGTATACGGATTATTTTAACCGTCTTATTAGTCTGTTTGGGATAAAGTCTAAGACGGGCATGTGTATTTCATTAAAACCTTTTAAATCACCAGGCCTCATGTTATTTATTCATCGAATGACTAGCTTAAGACCTTTCCATTTTTCTGTTTATTCAAAACGTAAGTTCTGGCACAACAGTATGCTAAAAAAGTGCCTTACACAAATGAATTCAAGATACAAGGAAACGAAAAAATGAGGTGTTATACACTACAATGCCTCCAAATGCCCTGGTACAGCCGAGAGAGTGGAGAGTCTGCCCTCCCTCTCGAAATGCTCTCACATGGCCACGCGAATATATAGCCTCTGCCAGGGAAGTCCTACTCACTGCCTTCTCGTGGCGGGGGTGTTCTTCACAAAAGTGAGAGGACGAAAAGCGAATGTCCGGCGCTTTAACCTGGTTGGTGGACATGGAAAGTTCACCTAGGGGAGTTGGAAAACCCTGATTCCTAACCAGTGGTGCACATGGGCTCCAGTATCCTGATGGAACAAATGGCGTACGAATCAACCGTTGATCACCGGCTACCATGGGACTGCATCTCCTCACGATGCTCCACTACCTTGTGGATCAGACTATTGGGTCAAAGGCTCCGGGTGTGGCCCCCCTAAGAAAACCACCTGCTTCAGTCTGGGCACCTGGGCAGTATCACAGTCCACACACAAATCGAATGAGATTTGTGAGGCGCATATTTATCTAGTGCTTTTTTGTACCAATATTTATGTTTTTAAATAAATAAATAAATAAACATAAACAAGATCGATTTTTGTTAAAAGTTACTTGTCAGTTAAAAATCCAGGTAAGAAAGATTTATTTCAGTTAAGGAAGCTTATTTAACTTCTAGCAATGGTATGGGAGAACTACATTAGGGTCAGTACATTGTGATACCTTCTTATATCTAGTTGTAATATGGATTAACCTTAGTGTGTTGTTTTCTAGTATACAATTCTTTGTTGAGAATCTTGCTGTCGTTCCAGACTGGGTACTAGAAGTTATGCCTAAAAAATCTTATTTTTCTACTAGGAAATTAGTTTACCGTGCATATAAGTCTCAAAACTTTATATATAGTATACATTTCATACATATAAGTATGTAGTACCGCGCGATCATCGTAACCAATGTTTCCAGATTCAGGATGATGGCTCGGAATCACTTGAAGTGGCGTAAGCACATCCACTCTTTTTCCTTTAGACCCTAAGTTTCCTAATCATCATAAAGAATTCCTTTATTCCATGAATCCGTATTTTGTTCTATCATCATATCTCGTATACCTAATGTTTTCTACCATCACTAATGCTGTTACTGCATGCATTACTGTTATTACTTGTGCCGCCTGGATGCCCTGTTATTGCATAACGTGATAATACCGCTAATTAGAGAGCGGTGAATTATCGATCGGACCAATGACACACGAAACGCATACGAGCAGTCCAGAGTACCTGTCGGTCCTGCTTTCTGCCTAGCCCAGCCACTCAAGTCCAGAACACCAATAACAGCCTCTGCGGTATCAATCATTTATTTCAAACATACTGGGTTTATATAATAAACAGACAGACCACATCGTACCATAAAATGGAAAATAACATTTGTACAAGATCCAGCTAAATGTGGTTGTGAATTTAGGAGGCAGTAATTAATAGACTTCGGATAACTCAAGAACAGTAAATCGTATGGTAATAGTTTATGGGTCAAAATAAAGCTTATAATAAAAGGAACATGATTATGAATAGTTGAGTTACTTAACAACTATACAATAGGAAATATACGTATCATATTGGTCCATAAATAGTTCTTAAAAGTTACCATTCATAATTCTTATCGGGAGATAACAGTTACTGTGACCTCTCTGTACTTGTGTGGTGTGGGGACTTGAAATGATGCACATATGTGCCAAGTTCTATGTTGCTTACGACCCAGTAAATGTTGAGTAAACTGATAACCGTTTAAAAAAATATCACAGTAACGAATGGTTTAATTTTAATAAATTCTATATTGCTAACAAAACCACGTACAAATATTGGTCTGTTGGTGTAACAAAATTTACCAGGGATAAACATATTATTTTGCTTTACTGGAATAATCAGAAAAAGTCAGAAATATTTGTTAACGAATAAATATCCCACGCAGCCGTCGCATATGTTTTCAGATACATTCGAAAAATCGTATGTTTGTAGAATGTTTGTATGATTTCACCAGCTTATAAATAAGAAAACAGGTCTCGTATATTGAAGGGTTGTGTATATTCTTCAAGAACCACTTGTGATATAAGTACGTGTTTATAGGTAGTTCTGATCACAGTTTGATACGAGCTGGATACCATCAAAAATGAGAGGCCATTAATGTCACTCAAATCGGTAAGTATTGAGCATTATTTTAAATCGACTGTTTGAAATTTGACCGGTAGATCCAAAGCTGATAACTAAACGTTAGTTTACTAGCAATTGAGTTAAACTTCGTATCTGCTAGTAATGGTACATCAGTGAATGCTCTTTAACAAAAGGCGAAACAGCTATTCCGTACTCCCTGATATCTGTTGCTTTGCTGACCGGTGTCAGCGACTGTCATTCAAGGTGTACTAGACAATTTTTCAGATGTTGGTTACGTCAGTTATCTAGTTTAATGGGTTTAAATTCCAAGGTGACCTATCTAGACGTCTGAACCACCTATTTCCTAACTATAAATATAGTCATTAGCGTTACTGTTTTCAATCGGTTTAGGTGAATAACTATGAATACTAGCTTTATGCACTTAAATACTGTAATAGAATGCTTACAATTTATTGGATTGTTATGTACCGAAAATTTTAAAAGGAAATGTCACATTTGCTGGTATATTTCCTTTTTATCTGTTCTTTGATATAAATGAGAGATGGATATGTCATAATTCATGCATCTTATATATGATAGGGGGGTGTAAAATAGTTGTAACAGTTGAACTGGTAAAAAAACTTTCGTGTCCGACAATAAACGGGAACTACTGATTGCTAATAGCTTTATAAAATATATTATCAAATAATTACAGTTTGAATGCATGTTAAGTAGAAATTTGTTGCAGTGTTCCATACCCATGTTCTCAGTTCAGTTTCACCTTCCATTAAATATTGAATCACTTTTTTCTCTTTGAGTAAGGTATTCTGTCTTAGAAATCCTTATTTCATGGGAGACATAGGTTTTATCTTCGATTTTCGCTTATTTTAATGAATCTTAAAAATGTTCTATAAGTGTCTCTATTGTTTGCTTACATTAGAACGAAATTGAAGCTTCAATGTAAAGACATTTCATTTATTTCTTTGCATTATTAAAATATCTCTAGTGGAATTGTTGCTATTAATGTCTACCGATATCACTTATGTGCTTTACAATGTACGTTTCGTTAGGCATTAGTGCTAATAGCTTACAGTTAAAATTTAAATTGCACTGTATCATTCTATTCAAAAATCATTTGCTGAATTCACTTTCAGTCTAATATGTGTATTATATTCCTACTAAATTTTGAATATTCCATCGTTTTATGTAAGCTGAAGTGATGAGATCTAAAATTTATAATACCTAAATGTTATTTAATTAGTTGCTCACTCAACTTTACTTTTTATTATCCTGCTAATATGTCTACATTTTTACGTTATAATAACTAAATCCCCTGTCATTTTTAATAAACATCTCATAACAACATACTCAAAAGTTCGTAATCATTATTTATATGAATAATCTTTTCATTAGATACTTGGGTATGAACCACTTTCAAAGTGTAAAGACTAATGATACTATTCGATCGCTTAAACTGAAGTAGATGGATGGAAGATCGGACTCACGACACATTGGCTGTAGGTTGAGCGCCTTAACCCACTAAGCTACCAGTCCACACATACACATTATATATATACATATATATATCAATTCATTTGTATATGTGAGATGTAATTTTTATACTTATACTAGAATGTCTCCTGTGATTTATAGCGTTGTCTCTCAAACTTCTTTAATTATATAAACTGATAAAACTCGATAGAAGAAGAAGAAGAATCAATTAGTATTAGTCGTTAAATCATTCTTTCCTCTTGAATAATTTCCTTAGCTATTTATCATTGAAATACAGTTAATCAGATAAAAATGAAAAATAAAATTAATTATTCCTATGCGGATAATAATCGTAATCATCATCACCATCCATTGTTGTATTTCATTGTTTCAGTTGATTTTCCCCTCATACACACATTCACATCACATTCTCTTTTTTTATTTTTCTTGTTTATCAAAATGATTATAGACTTTTCTTTTAATTCATTCATATTCACTTTCCTATTTCTTCACCCTTTTTTTTTCCTTTCGATACTCTATATTTCTATTGGTTAATTGTTAATTATGACATCGAGTTATTCATATCTGATATTGTCAACTTATCTCATTCACTTTAAACCTTTTGTAATATTTTTTACTGCTTGTTATTGGAGAATGAAATATATATATGCCAACATATCCATCTACTCATTCTTAAAAAGAAATTACTAATGGATTCATTCTCTGATAGACATGATTTCTTATTAGTGGATAGTCGTGAACGTCAACGTCAGCGTAGTGTTAATCAAGCATTTGCAGCGCTCAGATATATCTTACCTACACATCCACCGGATAAAAAATTAAGCAAACATGAAATTCTACGCCTCAGTATAAAATATATTCATATTTTAGAAACTATTCTCAAATATCAAGAAGAGGTTGAAGGACGTTTACCTATATCAAGTATATCACATATATGTACAACAACAACATCATCATCGAAATCGAAATAAACAATCAGTTTCGAAATATATACAACTCATTAATATAAGATTCATATGTTCATGTCGATTTGTTCCTATTTCTTTTACTTCAATTGCTATCAATCTTCTACGGGGAAAAGAAATTATCCTTTCATTCAATATTGATTTATAAATATTCACTGATAATTGATATTGACCTGTACACTCTGATACATTTTTACCATTCATATATAACGTATTATATCCATTATTTCTTTTTTACATGTAGTTTTTTTTTTACATTTAAATCAATTTTATATATTTCAGACTTGTTATTATTACTATTGGAATGTCCTCTCAGACAGACAATGTAACTCCTTATGATCGGTGAGTTTTAATTTTGTCTATGAACATTCAAATAGTTTCTATTTAAACTTTTTTTGATTTTTATTTCTTTCAATAAATGCCCTGGTACGGCCGAGAGTGGGGAGAGTTCGCTCTCCCTCTCCAAATGCTCTCACATGGCCACGTGTATATAGCCTCTGCCAGGGAAGTCCTACTCACTGCCTTCTCGTGGCGGGGGTGTTGTTTACGAAATTGAGAGGACGAAAAGCGAATTTTTTAAAATGAAATCCAGATAGCGATTATTTCGTAATATGTTCTTTAGTATATCTATTTCGCTATTGACACTGTCCTCAGAACATAATAGCTTGATTCTGTGGCTGAGACATTTAACCAAATTTATTTTATATTAAAGAGGTGTGAAGATTTGGAAATGGGTATACTGACCCATCCATGTATTCTTTCTAAATATGTTCCGGTTTATGGAATCGTCTATCCTTCTAGAAAGTAGGACGCCAAGGAAAGTTATACTATTGTCTTTCTCCTCCTCGCTGGTGAATTTAATAGCTGGGTGGACGTTACTGAAAAAGTCGAACATCTCTTGTTTGTCGATGTATTCGTCACATACGATTGGTGTGTCATCTATGTATCAACAGTAATGATCTAGCTTAAAACGCCTAGTTTTGGCCAGAAAGATATTAATAATAATTTGAAAGATGGATAAATAATTTATTCTGTTGATCCTTTATTATTTGTGAATATATGGTACAGTGCAATCATTAAGGTGTTAAGAATTCACACAATTATGGACTAACTCATAACCAGATAATGAAATAAACATTCAAATCTATCATATAAGACAATATCATGAATGATGCTTTCAGCAATTTAATTGGTTAAGTGAACAGTTCCAATTTCAATGGTTCGCTTTGTTTCGCTCTTACAGAGAATAATAAAAAAAATATTCCTGGTCATTTATCAGGTACATTTTTATGTACTCTGTTTTTAGTGATAATACCGAGCTTTTAAATGAGATGCATCAACTTATTGATTAAGAGCTGAGTTCTTTTTATTCCACTTAGCCATCTATTCGATAACGGTTCATACTAACTTAACATGTTCTGCACGTCCACATATGTTGGACCTTTGTTGAATGTTGTTTGTTGATTTATAGAAAAATCAATATCATTAAAATAACCCAATGCCTTGAACACTAATAATCTGCACTCAAGGTCAATTCATTGAACTTACCTATTTGGTTCTATATTTTATTGTTGTTATGACTACTAATAATTATAATATAAGTAATTGTCCATTGTTTAAATTTTAATTAGTTGAAAGCGTGAGTCAACTGGAGCTAGACCACCATGGAAAACCTGGAAGCCCTGGACGGCCGTTTCGTTGTATTGTGGGACTCCTCAGCAGTGCGCATCCATGACCTCGCCTCGCGAGATTCGAACCCAGGACCTACGCACTGCGCACTGATGAGGAGTCCCACAATAGGACGAAACGGCCGTCCAGTACTTCCAGGTTTTCCCTGGTGGTCTAGCTTCAATTGACTCACGCTTTCAACTATGAAAATACTGAAATCTCCACAAAAAACCCCTTCTAATAAACTTTAATGATTACATTGATTTCAAATTTTATTTTTCAGCGATGAAGTTTCTTCTAATCCAGCTCAAAACAACAATGAAACACTAACTACTAATAGTACTATACGAAATACAATAAAACAAATCAAGTGCAACATTTCAAATTATTTATTCACTAGCCGAACTGAATCAAATCAAATGAAATTAAATTCTAATATGCATATAAATGATACTACTAATAAATCATCTTCTAAATTATCTAATCAAAATGATTCTGAATTTCTCAATACTGGATTTACTTTAATTGGTTATACATTTCTACTTCAAATTATTTTACATATTATGACATTCTTATTGAATAGTCTGTCTTATCGTTATCTGGATACAGCTAGTTTAGGTTTAGTCAATGTTCGACTTGGTTTATTTTATTCAACGTTGATATTTACTTCGAGAGAAGCATTTCGTCGTGCATGTCTTAGTCGTGGTGGTCAAGTAGTCAATTGTAATAATAATAATAATAATAATAATAATAATAATAGAAAATCAACTGAATCATTGTCAAATGCAAAGGTTACTACAATAGTTGATTCTATAAATGAAGATTTTGTTGATGTTTCTCAGCTGATTAAAAGTTGTAAACAGGAAATTAATCAAGATTGTCATACTTCAGTTCAGTGTAGTTTACAATATAATGAACAATTGTATGGAATTTTAAATCTTGCTTGGCTAGTGTAAGTTTAATTCTATGAAATTTTTTTTATTGTAATAAATAATTTTAAATTTTTGTAGACTTCCTATTGGTTTCATCATTGTAATACTATTGAGTTTTGTGTGGATTTTCATTCTACCATCTCCAAGTAATCTAATTAATGAATCAAATTCTGAATTAAATCTTACATCGTCAATTATTGAACAGCGTTACATCCTCTCTATCATGATATACGCTTTATCTGGTCTTTTTGAATTAGCTACTGAACCATTATGGCTTATTTGTCAATTATCTCATGAAGTTCGTGCAAGAATCTTTATTGAAGCTTTTGCTAATACTGCTCGTTCAATTGGAATATTGTTTGCAATATTTACTGTACCATCCCAGTATGCCATTTATTCACTTAGTATACCTCAAGTAAGTTTTATGTAACAACAGTTTTCATGTTATTTAGTTGTGTTGTAATAAATGAGAACTCAGATGGGGGAAAACCAACTGCTTCTACATGCTACTTACATCTGTCAACATAAGTAGCGTCTACCACAGTGTAGGTACAATTTTTCGTTTTCACATTTAGATATGCATGAGATCATCAGAACGTCATTTATTTTAGTCAAGAGAATCTTTATGGTTTCAGTCACATGATCTCTGGAATTGATACGTAAGCTGAACTATTAAGATTGTTGGTTATAAAATTTACTAAACAATCAATCACATTACAGGACAAACAAGCCTCTAAATGCCCTAGTACGGCCGAGAGTGGAGAGAGTTAGCTCTCCACCTCGAAATGTTCCCACGTGCATAGAGCCACTTCCAGGGAAGTCCTACTCACTGTCTTATTGCGGCACCGGTATTGTTAACGAAATTGAGATGACGAAAAATGAATGTCCGGCGCATTAACCGAGTTGGTTGTGGATACGGAGGATTTACCTAGAGAATTTGGAAAACCCTGATTCCAAACCAACTGTGCACATGAGCACCAGGATCGTAAGGAGACAAATGAAATATGAACCTATTATTGGTGACCGGCTACCATGGGACTGCATCTCCTTACATTACTTCACTGCCTTTTGGATTAGGCGTGTAGTTCAAAGGCTTGATCCCCTAAGAGAACCACGTGCTTGTTTTTTTTTACCCGGAAAGTATCCCATCCCTCACACAAATTGAATGATTTATGTGATGCATAAGTATTTGGTGCCTCCTTGTATCAATATTTGTTTAAATGGGTTCGAATCTCGCGAGTGCGGGATCGTGGATGCGCACTGCTGAGGAGTCCCATAATAGGACGAAACGGCCGTCCAGTGCTTCCAGGTTTTCGATGGTGGTCTAGCTTCAATCGACTCTTGATTTCAACTTTGAAAAATAATTAAATCTCCACAAAACCACTTCTGAAAATAAATAAATAAATAAATGTTTATAAAGATTGTCAAGCATTTAAGTATTTGCGTATGATTTTGTATGTTAGCTAACTTTTGCATTTGGCAGTGACCTTTTTTGAATTTCTGGTCCGTAATTCTATTATCGTATTACGTCATTCTCCTTGTTCACCATGAATGTTTCTCAGCATAAAAAAAAGAAATGGACTATTTATATTGTCCCATAACATGGGTTGTATTTTGAGTGAAATAACATGTTTATAACCTCAGTTCATTCGTTTATGGAACAGACTTTATATGATTATAATATTAACCTCTATCTGGGTGTATATTTGTGGACTGTCTTCTTATTTCGAAGATAGTTGTAGCTAAAATGCTAGTATTATTATTAAAGTTTGTAAATATTGTTGGACTTTTTAGTCTGCATCATGGGTTGATCTTGGTTAGACAAACAATACAAATCAGAAAACACTTGATTACTGTTTTGTTGAAGTATATGAGGACTCCTCAGTGGTACATATCCACAACCACACCAGGGGTCGAACCCAGGACCTTCGGTTCTCGTGACGAGCATTGTGGATGTACAATGTTCAGGAATCCCGTCTAATGTAAAAATGTTAACGTAGTCAAGTATGTTCTAGTGACTTTTCAATCCATCATTTTCCGTTTTGATTTTTTTAGCTTTTTCATGGTTCAACATTGTTCATAAGTTACTTGTTGTATTTTCAATATGGTATACCACGTTCAACATTAAATAATGGATTGAAACTTAAAGGAATCACAGGAATCGCTTCGTTGAAAGATATTTTACCAAGTTATTTTCGGGTTAGTTTTTATTCTTGCGTTTATATTATTTCGGCAAATGAAAAAAAAATTCACTGAGAGAACTTTCTTCTTGACAAAATCATTTACTTAAGCTGTACATTCGTATTGATATTTGCTTGACATATATTTCAGTCTATCTATGAATAGGAAGAGATTACATCGTAAAGTAATCCGAAATTTAAAATATCAAAAAGAGGTTGCGTTGCGATCGAGAGGTTAGTGAAGAATAGGAGGATGAAAATAATTTACTGGTCAGAATAGTGAGTGATAATTTTCCATGTGACAGAGATGAAGAAAAAAAGAAAAAAACATAAGGGTCATAATAATAACTGATTACGGTTTAAAATTACAAAACACTAATTTAAAGAAAAAACAACCAACAGATAATGGAGAAGAGAATTAGGACCAAGAGACGATGAAGGGTCGGACGTATTGCTTTTGCGTTTAGAGTTCAGGTTTCAATTGATGAATTGCGAACTCCTCAGTAGTACATAAGTTTTAGAATTGGCCTACCTTCGATCCAATACTTTTTACAATGTAGATTATATTGAAGGACAATTTTTTGGAGTAACGTGCGCAGAGTTGATGAAATGCTCTTGTGTTAAGCTAGTAATAGTTTTGTATTTTTAAGAGCCACGACGAGTAATTCTCTGAAATGAGTCATTGATTGTGTCATGTGAGTCGGGTTTCGGCTTCCAAACTTAGTTGCATTGTATTACTAAATCTGACAATAAAAGTTGCTTATAATGTGTTTACCTGATCGGTGTTCACGCGACAACCTATATCAATGATTAGAGACTTTAGACAAAATGGGTTGAAATTATCCATAATGTCACAAATCTATTCACATTTTATATTCCAGATCGCTACTTCCGATATTCTCTTTTTGAGCAAAACTATCAGTGTTCAGTCTTTCTTATTTATCCTAGCTGCTACATTTGCGATTCGTTCGCTATTTGTTTCTTTAAATATATTTCCTAGTGCTAATTTGTTATGTCAACTACAATCAACACACATCTGTGCCAGGCTCTACGTTGATTATGATTGGCTATAATAAATTCGAGTCTAAGAACTAATTTTCTTAGTTATAGAAAATCAGGCTGTTATAACAGTACCTGAATTTACTTCTAGACTGATTTTGGAATTAGAAAAAAAGTCACTATCTTGTTTACTTCAGAAGCCCCTCTTTGACTAATGCTATCAAAACTATGCTAACATCAGTTACTTAAAAAAATATAACTAATTTCATTTCTTTTAATTTGTTACACCATGAAAGTATTCTATCGATCGACAAGGCCTACAACTTGTAAAGAACTTTTTTGGTCAGTGTATACTGAAACAACTTTTAACAGAAGGTATGTAGATATTTTGTATGTTTAATATGAAATAATATGTGTTAACATTGACGTAACTTAAAATTCCTTAGACAATTTTTTCGATGTGGTAACATTTTTGAGTTAGCTATGATACTACTCAGGTGCCCGAACCAAAGGAGGCATTTCACTGGAAGGGACTACTCCCCAAGCCTCTTGTGTGGAGGTCTTATTCGGAAGACACAAAAGTGATGTCAGGGGATGCAGTCCTGTGGTAGCAGTGACCAAAATACTTATGTACCCCACGGGTTTGTAGTCAGTATTTTTCAACACCCCCCGTTGAGCCACCCGTATCCACTAACCTGGTTCAAGCTCCTGGTATTCACTCTTCATTCTCTTACTTTCACCAAAAGCACCGATTGTTACATGAAGACAGTGAGTAGAGCAGAACCTCTGCGACAGGGAATATAAATCCCCGTTCACATGGGGGCGCTTCGAGATGGAAATAGAACTCTCTTCACCCTCAGCTGTACCAGATCATTTTGAGGCTATTAGCATTCATAAAGTTAACATAAATCACCTTAGTACAGGTTCATGTAACAGGTTATACACTACTTAGTTATTATAAATACAAAATAAGAGTTGGATATATTTGTTCGTTTTTCAGATCAAGTCTCAATTTTTTCAGTATAGTATTTTAAAGATTATTAAATTTTATTGGATTCATAAACTAATCTGAGTTAGAACACCATATAAATCTGAGAGCACTAGACTACCGTTTCAACCCAACATGGGACTCCTCGTCATTGCTCATCCAAGACTTCTTACGCGGGAATCGAACCCGGGACCTCAGGTTTCTCCTGTAAACGCTTAAGCCCTAGACCATTAAGTCGGTATCCAACGATATTAATGTTTGACTTCAATCAACCCAAGTCTCACCTTGTTGGTAGAGTGGCATTTTAGTTGTCAAAATACACGAGTTTTACCTCTTGGTCAATAAGTTACACGTATTCGGACCCACTTGGTCTACTTCTGTTTTTACAGATGATTAGCACAATTCAGCATCACAATAAAAATATCGTAAGTCATGAAGAAGTACCTAACATACCTAGTGATCAAACAATGTTTAACTTATGAACATTTAATTTGGGTCATCAATTTTCAGCTCTTAAATTAAATTCCCATCTCGTTGATTTGAAAATTCATTATCTCTGAATCAGTCTAATAATTGCTGAACTTTTTTCTACTTTCGTTCTAACTCTATATTTATGGAAATATTTCCTATTAGGCAAAATAAGAATTCAACTTTCTGTTTTGCTAAACTCAAGATGATTTCAACTTTTGTTGTTGGTTTATTCAGGTGAAAGATATCTAATCAGTGCGTTTCATTTGATAAGTTTCACGGATCAGGGTAAGTAGTAATTTTAATTTGTACAGGATACATGTGTTTGTCCTTTATTTTGAAATTATCTTATCGATGGTTCGCACAAATTTTGTTGAACTATTAGTGTTTAATAATTAGACAGTTCAGCTTTTGGTCAGTAGGGCTGAAAACTATTCTGCCTAATCTAATAAGTAAAAATTAAAATTTATAACGTTTTGGAACTTATTATAAAACACTTCTTCGGTGCACATCAATAACGGACTTAAATGAATACAAGTTTAAACAGTATTACAATCAGCATCATAATGGGTCAATTTTGGTCGAGGCGATTGTGTGTAAGATATCAACGTGTGTATTTGTGCGTGGATATTAGAAGTGGACGTTACATCCCACTGTGTTTATTAATTTTACACCCTTTGTTTGGCCATACATACTTAGGAAGGAAAAGTCATTTGTGAATTAGAGTGGCTGAACATGTAACTAAATGGCTGCGGAAACAAATAAAATCATATAATGTAATAAGGGTAGATGATAAACATCTATCTTCCTTATAAGCTGAGATGGACAGTGGCTAGCAGTGGAATCTACGACGCTCATTTCGTCATATTTGAGATTCTTCAGTCGGATGTACCTTCATCCCACAGTTGATGCTCAGCACGGGACTCAAGGCCAGTGCTGTTCACCACCCAACTCTGCTTATAATGCTTGCGACTTACATTAATATCGAAAAAATCCTCACATGATGCGGAAATACTAGAAAAGACTGATTAGTTTCACTCCTAATAATCGATTGGAAGTTTAAAATAGTCAATGCAATTGAATTGTTGGTGAATGTAGAATTTGTTTATTTCAGTCTACGAAGTACCATAGAGAGATAATGTAATTGACAAATGTTATACTAATAGTAATATCTTACCATGTCATTTTGAACTATGCTTCATTGATTATAGAAAGATAATAAGGAAAACTATGTGAATTATTCCTCATTGAATATTAAACCGATATTGCCGGTATAGGTGGACACATCAAAGTGGTTTGAATTGGCTTATGTTCACAATAGAAGAGGATGTTTATGTATCTCATTCTCTTATTAAACTATTGGAGTTCATTTGTTTCGTTAACCATTTATATGTGTATTTAACCACCTTTACATACGGATCACGATCACTTCTCCCTATGCCTGTGTGTTTACGCATATATGTAAATTGCTAAATGAAAAATGTTATGACACACTGATTCTTTACATGTTGTTTAGATCCTCAGTGAAGCATAGACCCTAAATTTTCAGTAATGATGATTTGAGCTGCGTTAAATTCCCCCAATTATGTTGATTTTCTTCTCTCTAGGTATATATGATCTTGTCAATAATTTGGGCTCTTTAGCGGCTCGTCTACTTTTCTTACCATTGGAAGAAAGTTGTCATTTTATGTTTAGTCAATGTATTCAAAGAGATATCTCTCCAAATAAACAAAATAAAGTAAGTTCTCATCCATATTGTGTATATTTTATAACGTTTAATTGAATTTTTACTGTGTACAATAATGTGAATCGGGTATGAATTAGTAAATAGAGATAGATGCTAGATAAATTTCGCAGTGTTTTCAAGTGTTACAATAATAATTATAAAGGTGTGCATAAGATGAGTTCAAGCTATAAGGATGAACATTGACCAAATTACGTCACTGTGTCATAAAAATGATTATTAACTAAACTAGGTCAGAAGTTGGTCAAGGTAATATGTATGGTTTTTAGTGACCCTATATCTGACCGACTCCACTTAGAGCGTATGATTGGTTGTTATTAAAATATACATGTCTCCAATCCTCGTATATAATCATCGACTTGAATCACGTTAGTGAATAACGGAACTAAATAAGTCAAATACGAGAAAGGATTTCGAATACGTGTGTTTCATACAATCGTTGATCGGAGAGCGAAGCAAAACAAAATGGCATGCAATGGAGAATGCGAGTGAGCCAACTCGATTTAACCAAGCGTGAATCGATATTTATAAACAGATCAAAATAAGTTACAGGCATGTGATAATTAGGATAAGAAATACACATACGCTCATATAAAAACAGTGAAGGTTGATAAGTGAATAATTAACGAGGTCAAAATTTGACTCAAGAAGAAACGAAAGGTACTGGGTTCGAGTCCCAGAGTGAACATCAACTCTGAAATGCAGGTACGTCCAGCTGACGAGTCCCACATAGAACGAAACGCGAGTCCTGGATTCCACTGCTAGCCACTACCAATCTTTGCTCAAATGATGTGGTTTGCCTAAAACCTAGCCAATTTTTTTTGGATTATTATATTTAGATATATAATTGTAGAAGCTGTAGTGAATTTAATAAAAAGGATATTTATCGTTCATATATCTTTTTCTTTTAATATGATGGAAATTTTTCAGCGATTCAATTCTTGCTAATAACAGGGTTTACTTTGTGTCAGTGTTTTGATGTTGATCGGATAGAGTCCCAGACTCAACTTCGGATTGATTGATACATTTCCCACCAATCATCACTGGTAGACAAACGGATAACATACTCGAAGATCCTCGAATATGTTTATTTCTTTGTTGTTCAGTTTCGTTGGTGGTCTAGCTTCAATTGACTCATGAACTCAACTATTAAATTACTATAAATATCCACAGTAACCCCTTTCTGGGAAGAAAAATTGTTTTTTTTCTAGATAAGGGATATTAGACGGTAGAAAAATGCAACATGCAGAAATAATTTTAAATCTGGAGATGGTTTATGTCGCGATCTATATGAATTTACTAAATTTGTAGACTATCGGATTTTTAATCAGTTGGTTGGGATTAGGTCTCAAGATTTTTATTTATGGATGACCTTTGAGCGGTACTAAATTAACCTTGAAAACGAATTATAGGGTCCCAAATAGGAGTATAAATTAGCCTGAGAAATTAGGAGTAGGAGCTTAGCGTTAGTGTTTTGATCATATTGGCTATCATGCCATAACGCTAGATTAAACAGTATTTCTTGCCTTCACTTAGTATTGTTTGTTTGGATCTTCCCATCGATGTGTTTAGGACTGAAACTGGTCAGTCTCTAATTGGCATATGTGCATACTGTGCGTATTGCCTCGATATACCTTAATTCACAAGCATGGTAAGCAGAGATGTATAGTGGCTAGCAGTGGAATCCAGGATGCGCGTTTCGTCCTATTTGGGACTCGTCAGCTGGATGTACCTGCATCTCAGAGTTGATGTTCACTCTGGGACTCGAACCCAGTACCCTCGCTTCAAACGCCATCGCGTTATCCACTCGGCCACTGAGTCCTGATAGCCACTTGCTTGTGCGATGGGGTGAAGTTTGAATTCACTTAGTATTGTTTGTTTGGATCTTGCCGATTATATCCAAACACTGAAAATTCTAACTTAGTGCACCCGGTGTCAAGTCATTTAGACTAATCACTATGTTGGAACTTTGTCGATAGAATTTAATCTACCCTGAAAGAGGACTAAAGAAACATGACTCTGACCACTACTCAGACATTATCCAATTTATTTATGCACCTTTTTTCAAGTTACCTAGTATGGTAGCCAAAAAGAATTTCCATAATCTGAGCAGTATGATAATTTCTGTTATACTTTTTACTGTTTTTCAGTGTTGCGTTATACTATTTTTAAGATTAAGAATTAAACGTAACGTATGTGATATCTGTGATAATCCCATGTACCGCATCTCTGTATGTACAAGTTTTGGGTGATGTGTTTTAAACCAGATTTCTAAACTGATGAGTAGGACTTTATTAACCCAATTGCCTAAAGTTGATAGGGCTGTAACTCGAATATACTTGTTTGTTAGACTTATACATAACTATAATTTTTAATTGATCCATTTTATTTTCTCTAATTTTCAGAAATTACTTCTAGATGCATTTTGTATGCTTAAAACGGCTTTACGTATTTCAAGTCTTATAGCTTGGATTGGTGTAACTTTTGCTCAAGCTAATTCTCGTTTATTATTAATGATTTACGCTGGGCATAGATTAGCTGATAATGATGTAGCGGTTAATTTATTACAATTGTATTCTGCTTATGTTTTGTTACTTGCATGGAATGGTTCAACTGAAGCGCTGTTGAATTCCGCAATGTCAACAGTAAGTTTCTTCTGTTTTATTATATATGTATATTGTTCTTATTTGAAAAAATACAGTACACTTCGTTCTGTTAATAAAATGTTTAGCTCAAATCACTGAAATGACTTTTTCTTCCGACTACTGAATTTCAAGCTCGAGAGGTAATGATTACTGTGTATCTATGACTTACATTTACGCAACCACCACTGATGCGCAGTGCTAGCTGACATAAGATTAGGTTGAAAGAAGCGACTATTGGAGGTTAAAACTCTAAACCGTTGTCGTTTAAGGAATTAATTAACCATTATTGGGCAACTGCTACTACTAACCAAGTTTCCTTTTTTGTTGTATCTATCTCAACTTATTTACCAGATATAGATTCATATACTTGGTTTTGAGCCAGATTTCAGGTGTGAAGGATAGTGATACTACCCAGTTACTCCAGACCTAAGTATATGGAGGGCTACGAACTCTCAACTTAATGGCACGAAGTTGAAAGTCCTGACCGTTGAACCACTATTCCATCTATCGACTCAGTTGTCTTAGGAGCAAAATTTAGACTGCACTAAATGGTCAATTTGGTATTTGTTTATCGTAACATACTTAAAAAAAATAGTTAGTCCTCATGACTGTGCATTTGCCTAGAGATATGAAGGTCCGTTTCAGCCCCTAAAAATTTTGTCCGTGCGCAATCCTGAAGAATTCTATACTGAGATGAAGTAACTATCCAACGCTCCCTGGTTTTCGTTTTTACTTCGACTGAGATCAGTCTGTGATAAATACAACTTACAAATGAAACCAATCTCCAACTTACCTTCAATTAATAAACGACTTACAGTTTGTCATTAATCAATTTAATGTTCGGGTAGTCCCAAAATGTTCTTCGTCAAAGTCTTTAGAGGCACAGAAACTCCAGGGAACGTCTTATCTAATTAGCGTTGAATAGACTTATCACAGAGGCATCCAGAATAGGCAGAATTACATATCACAGTTGGGATTGAATACTTCCCTATACTGCTACTATATTTAGTATGGTTCCGGAAGCCCAAAATCGTGTCCAACTCTATAAATACCCTCGCATTTTTCTGTGTATAAGCTAACTTTGAAGTAAAGCTCTTATTTGTAGTTCTCACCTTATTTTTAGTGTTCTAGTTGACATATAGAGGTAGATGAGGTTATAGGAACCGGCTAGGAAGACAGTTTAGGGGTATCAGTAAGAAGGCTTACCACTTTATTTAATAATTACCACTTTTTTTATTTCACAGGATGACGTTTTACGTCACAATCAACGTTTAATAATATTTTCTATAATATTTCTTGGCGCAAATTGGTTTTTTGTTCCAGTATTTAATGTATACGGTTTTGTACTAGCCAATTGTATTAATATGATTACTCGTATTTTATATAGGTAAGAAAATGAATATAATGTGTTGTTAAAGTATTTATTATCAAAATATTTTTAGTCCCTGCTCTCACATGGCCACGACCATACAGCCACTTCCGGGGAAATCCTACTCACTGCCTTATTGCGGCAGAGGTTTTGTTCACGAAATCGAGAGGACGAAAAACAAATCTCTGGCACTTTAACCGGGTTGGTTGTGGAGTGGGAGGATCCACCTAGGGAGGTGGGAAAATCCTGATTCCAAACTAACGGTGCACATGAGCTCCAGGATCTTAAGGAGACAAATGGAATATGAACCTATTGTTGGTGACCGGCTACCATGGAACTGCATCTCCTTACGTTACTCCGCTGCCTTGTGGATTAGACCTTTAGGTCAAAGGCTCGTGGTATGGTCCCCCAAGAAGACCACATGCTTCGGTTTTGGCACCCGGAAAGTATCCCATCCCTGACACAAATCTAATGATTTATATTGTGCATATGTATTTGGTACCTCCTTGTACCAATGTTTATGTGTTCAAATAAATATATAAATTTAATCTAAATTGTGGATTTGTAGCAACTCGTATCTAGCCAGAACGTAATTTATGTACTAAGGGGAGCATACAGAGTAGTTTGAGTGATGAGAGCTGTAAGACAAAGAAAAAAGTGAGCTGACGACCTAGCAAGCTCATACAATGCACCTACATTTAATGAGCAAAAGAATACATATAAATCAACACAATCTGGAAGTCGAAACGAAGCAGATAAACTGAATTTTTTCACTCGCTAAAAATTTATAGAGGTTTAAGCGATATGAGATAACCGTCACAAAAGACAGTAGATCCTAGTCCCACATTGTTCACAAATACCTGAACTTGGTTTTATGGACTACTGAATATGAAGTCATTGATTTATTAGTAGTGCACTAATTGTCAATCTTAAAGTGTATGAATTCAGTCCTTTATGAATCATAGACAACCATGGGTTATCATTGACTTTCACATACTAATGGTGAAATTCAAAGAAGAGTACATAAACATATATTATTGGTAAACGAGCTGAATCATTCATATCGTAGGTGAACATACTATTGAAGAGTTCAGTATTATTAGATTGAAGACGTTTTTCAATACGTCCCGGTGTTTAATGTTTGTCTAGCTAAAGTTATTTTAATGACTTGCTTTACTTACACCTGTCGCCGATCAGGCGTCTTCATTGAACTCCGTCCTGGGTAATTATTGCCAGTTGTTTCTAATTGCTATTTATTCATTTGATGTCTGCCCCCCGACCCATTGTATTCCTTAGTCTTCCTCTTTTCCTTTTACTTTCGGGATTTCAACATAGGGCTTTCCTCATGATACAGTTTGATTGTTTCTGTAATATATGTCCTATCCGCTTCCAGTGTCTTTTCCTAATTTTCTCTTTAGCTGGAAGTTGGTTTGTTGTTGGCCTCAGTAGGTTGTTGATGATATCCGACCAGCGGACATTGAGTATCTTGCGTAGATCATTGTTTGTGATGAGGTGAACTAAAACTATTTGAATGGATATATATATATATTATGAGTGTGATAGTGGTAGCTTAGTGGTTAGGGCTTTCAAATTCCAGTCGATAAGTCGTGAGTTCTAACCTCCATCCGCCTACTTCGGTTTAGGCGACCGAATAGTATAATTAGCCTTTATACTTCGAGGATTGTTCATACACAATTATATATATATATACCCTTTTTTCACCATTAATATTGATTCCATTTCTTTTTTGATGATTATTCTTTTGACAGTGTTTATTATATTAACAAATTTTTGGCAAAAATTGATGAACCAACAAATAATGAAAAACAAAACAATATGGATGATGATAATGATAGCAGCTGTAGTAGTATTAGTAGTAAATCATCGACTTTCGGAGTGTTATCAAACTGTGAAATTGGAAAATTCTCAAATATTTCCTTATTATCATTAATGTTTCCGTCATATAGTGAATTATGCATTCTATCCATTTCACTTATATGTACTTTAGTTTCACAAGTAAGATTATAGGTGTTTGTGTTACTGTTTTTTTTTCTTTTACTTCTCTATCGGTATTTTTGTACATTGGTTTATTAATTTTCAGTGAATTCATAAAACGATTCAACTTAACAACTGAGATTAACTACTTATATTCGTTTATGTTTAAAAAAAAATCATAGTAATCTCCAGGTTTTATTCGTTACAGATTGATCTCAGTTGACGTATCATTGAGAAATAAGGAGTAGTAGAAAACTGTTTCTCTCCAGTATGGGACTCTTATGTACTGCTTACATATCGCCTCCATCAGGGATCGAACTCAGAATTGCTGTGTATCATGAAGAAAGCCTAGTCATTACAACCATTGAATTGGCATTCAATTGTACACTTCTAACGCTAATCAGTTTTTTGATACAGTGCGAAGAATATCGAATAGCAATTGTTTCACTCTAAATATATCTGGACTTCTGACTATTACTCCTTGGTTTTCGTTAATATTTCAACTCAGATCAATCGGTAAAATTGCCAAGGTGAAAACCAAAGCTAAATAAGTAGTATTAGTAATAGTAAGAAAACGACTAAACAAAATGTAATTCAAGTGGAATAAGTTTCTAGAATAAAAATATAATCGTGAAATTCAGGATCTATGGTAGACAATAAATAAATGCATTCACACCATTATGATCGATTTCGACGGATGTCAACCAATGTGTCCAATCACTGGTGATGGTTATGACTCCGACTTCAGCCAGGTAGTCTGAATCTACCGACATGGCTAACTCCAACAGTTAATGACTTGATGGAATGATACCAAGTTTTCGTTTGGTTACCCATAGCTTTCTTCCAACCTACTTTGATTATTATTTTATTTAAACACATAAACATTGGTACAAGGAGGCACCAAATACACATGCACCATATAAATCATTCGATTTGTGTGAGGGAAGAAATACCTTCCGGGTACCAAAACCGAAGCATGTGGTTTTCTTAGGGGATCGAGCCTTTGAACTACAAGTCTAATCCACAAGGCAGTGGAGTAATGTAAGGAGATGCAGTCCCATGGTAGCCGGTCACCAACAATAGATTCATGCTCCATCTGTTTCCTTAGGATCCTGGTGCTCATGTGCACAGTTGGTTTGGAATCAGGGTTTTCCCACTCCCTTGGGTGGATCCTCCGTATCCACAACCAACCCGGTTAAAGTGCCAGAGATTTGTTTTTCGTCCTCTCGATTTCGTGAACAAAACCTCTGCCGCAATAAGGCAGTGAGTAGGACTTCCCTGGAAGTAGCTGTATGCACGTGGTCATGTGAGAGCATTTCGAGGTGGAGAGCTAACTCTCCCCACTCTCAGCCGTACTAGGTCATTTGGGACCCTACTCTGATATCAGCCAGATTTAAATACATATCACAACAACCTCAATCGATGTGGATTCTCTACCATATCAACCGATATATCAATTTTGCCTAGTATTGTGTGTAATCTCCGACTGCTCTTATCAATTTTAAAGCATACATCAGCTGTTGCAAAAGGTTACCAAGATGTCATTACATTCAAACCGTGCCCTTACTCATTCTTAATAATCGACACTTTGTTTTCGAACTTCCAGTCTATTTGTGCGAATAGGATCGTGGAGACTGTTGAGTTTCTCTGAAATCATAAACCAATCAATGTTTGACCATCATTGAAAACGTGTAATCACTAATTTGTCTCTCCGTATCATGGATCAATCGAAGTTAAACATTAACACCGTTGAATACCGCGTCAGTAGTCTAGAGGTTGGGTGTTCTCACGAGATTGAAGGTCTCGGGTTCGATTCTCATCTGCCGAGTCCTGGTTGTGCACTGCTTGAAATCCGATACTGGGAAGTAACGGTCGTCCAGTTTCTCCAGGTTTCCAATGGTAATCTAAGGTTGATCGATTTGTGATTTCAATAAAATCTTCATCTACTCTGCTAATTTTCATTTAATTTCCCTGTTTTTTTAAATTCTTTTTAGCACTTTTTCTGTTGTTCTTTTGGCATTCTATGGATGATATTACATGGTACAATTACATTCGGATTTTTATTCATCACATTAACGATAATCTATTATGAAGAAGGTGATATTTTCCAACTTATTCAAAATCGTTTACTATTTTTATCACAAAACAAAAAATCACAATAAATCCCAGTTACTAATCATACTCTTATTTGTATGTTACTTATTTCAAATATAATAAAGTTAAATACTTCCATAGTCTTCCACAATTCATATTTCTTTGTTGAGTTCATTCAATATCCTGTTGAATAATTAAGAAAAAAAGTAGTTATGGTGTTGTAATAATTATTATCTTAAAATGGGTTTAAATCACAGTTTTTTTGATGGAGTTTTGTTCTCTGAGTTGGATGGTTTGGTCGTGTTTATTTATTTATTTAAACACATAAATATTGGTACAAGGAAGCACCAGACATATATGCGCCACAAAAATCTCATTTGATTTGTGTGAGGGCTGTGATACTGCCCAGGTGCCCAAACTGAAACAGGTGGTTTTCTTAGGGGGGCCACACCCCGAGCCTTTGACCTAAAGGTCTGATTCACAAGGCAGTGGAACATCGTGAGGAGATGCAGTCCCATGGTAGCCGGTCACCAACAATAGGTTCATACGCCATTTGTTCCATCAGGATACTGGAGCCCGTGTGCACCATTGGTTTGGAATCAGGATTTTCCAACTCCCCTAGGTGGATCCTCCGTATTCACAACCAACCCGGTTAAAGTGCCAGAGATTCGTTTTTCGTCCTCTCAATTTCGTAAACAACACCCCTGCCACCAGAAGGCAGTGAGTAGGACTTCCCTGGCAGAGGCTATATATTCGCGTGGCCATGTGAGAGCATTTGGAGAGGGAGAGCGGGCTCTCCCCATTCTCGGCCGTACCAGGGCATTTGGGGGCTACAGCTACAGTTTGGTCGTGGAGCTTTCATCGTTATTCTGAACTACATCATCAGCACGAACTTCAGGCAGATGATGATGTTGCTCAGAATAACGATGAAAGCTCCAAGACCAAACCATTTAGCTCAGAGAATAAATCTCCATCAAAATCATCCACCTGAGCTACAAATCTCCACTTTTTTTGCTTTAACTGTTTATAGATATAATTTAATGAAAATCGATATCATTCCATAAAAAACATCTAATATCTTTATCTTACCTGTCAAAATGTGGATGCATGGATCGATAATGATGAGTAAACCCACCTCAAATTGAATAACATTCATAATCTCACATGCTTCGATCGTTATGCGACTGCTAAACTGACCTTGAAAGTTTCTAACCAATCAGGAATGAGCAAATGCGAATGAATGAAACACCGTACAAATACAATTATTTACGAGTGCATCATTAAGTGCAGGCGTACTATGATGTCGGCCTTAAGAGAAGTAAAGTAACCTTGAGCTTGATCAGATAGCCAATCAGAATGCAGCCTTTTTAAAAGAACTTTATTTCACAGAAAAACTGGAAGGTTTACGTGGAATTCAAAATTTTAATGTGATTATATGATTGTGTTAGGGGATACTATCGGTAAATTAGGCTGGAAATCTTGATGACTTCTAAACCTTAACTCCTATTTCTAACACTTTTAACTTAAATTTTGTTTTTTGAAAGTGTGTGCTCAAGTGAAAATGAACAAACATTTTGTCACCTGTAATAATTTTTTAATTGGTTGTAAATGGTGCAGCTTTGTTATTTGATTCGTTCAAATCGAACTAGAATAAAGTGCTTTTATTGGATGTAAGAATTGACATTTTTACATCGGATTATTATTTACAATAATGAACTATTTTCGCATTGTTCCATCTGAGTTTTGTAAAAAATTTTAACTTCGAAAAAAACAAAAACAAATCCTTTTGATTACCCTGCTATACTCCTGTTAGTGAATGTAATTTCTTTTTATGAAGTAGAAATGCAACTAAAGTTATCAGTTATCGTGACAACAGTAGTAATAATAATCTGTGGATCATTGAAAGTTAATTTTTGAAAAAACTGACAGTTGTTATTAATAATTGATAATGGTGATTATTGAATTTCAAAGGTAGTCTCAAATGTTTAATACACAATTAGTGAACAGATTATCATTTAAGTATTCCCATAAGTTAATTTAGCACATAGTTCGCTCATTTAATAAACGTTATATTCGTGTAAATATATGAATAAATGATGATGTGAAGAGAGAGTGAATGGGGCATGCCGAAGTCACGCTAACCGTAAAAGATGGGTAAATGAAGCAACTTTTACGCTGTCTGAAATTAGTAATAATGTCTGAGAAAAAAGCAAATAATCTTTATAATTCAGTTATTTTGCAAACCGTTATTCTTAATACCAAAAAGTGGATCATTTTAGCTTTGAAAAGGGTGTCGAAAATGAACGCAATACTGTTATCGAGGTTTTTTTTGTAAATCCATTCAAAGCATAAAATATGCTGACCTGTAGATTATTTGTAGTTGATCACTTATTAATGATCACCGAAAATACATGTCAGTGTACTCAGTCATGTAATACGGTAATTGTATTTGTGAGGTGGGCATAACATTTTTTTGGCAGCTAATGTTAACAGCCAATGTTTTTTTAAGTGCACAGCCTTTCAAATGAATGATCTGAATTTTTTATTTTCATTAGTAAATAACATTGTAAACGTTAATTAATTAGAAAGACTTAAATTATATTTCCAAATCCAACAGTTCCCTTTGTTAAACATACTGGACGAACAATGAAAAACTATGTACAGTTTCCGTCACAAAGAGATAATAATTACTCTTAAACTGTCAAACAGTAAATCGCTGAATGTTGAAAAAGTAACCTTTTTGACAAGCATATGTGTAATATAGGTTGAATGAAGTGTCAATGAACAAGCCTATGTCTAGTGAAATAAATTTCTATTTCAATGATATGACTGAATGTGGAATAAGGTCAAGTAAGGTATCAAGTAACCATTATGTATTTAGAATATCGTATTTCAATCTGTTAAGTTAAACTGTACATTTATTTATCAAATGTCTAAATGACATTCATCACTGTATCGAATTTTTGCTATGTAGTGATCAATCTCATATGAAACATTATTATTACATTTCGTATAATCCATTATTATTATTATTATTATTATTATTATTATTATTATTATTAATCACTTGTTAGACATGTAAGTTTTCATTATATGACGTCGTTTTCTGTTCGGAACCCTTTACTGAAACCTTAAATTTGAAAAACCTTAAAAGCTGTTGACAAAATTATAAAGTGATCGATATTATTATTAATCTAGAAAAAGTGATTTTACATCTTCATTACTATGGAATTGTGATGAATGATCAGTGTATGTTCACTTGACTTTTCCAATATAATTTATCTTGTTGTACTAGTGAACTGATCTCAGTACAATCGCCTACCGTCGCTAAGTGAAAAGAGATTGAAATGATCGTACACATCTTTGCATATACTTTTGTTTGACAAATTAGTGTTTATTATATGACGTTGTTTTCTGTACGGAATCGTTCACTGAAACCGTAAATTTGAAAAACCTGAAAAGCTGTTGGCAAGGTAATAAAGTGAGCGATGATAATTATTAATCTACAGCTTTATTGCTATGGAATTGTGATGACCGATCAGTGTCTGTTCACTTGACCTTAGCAATAGAAATTATCTTGTTGTACTAGTGAACTGATTTTACTACATTTCTCTACTGTACCTATTAACCAAATCATATGAATGTAAAATGAATTATTGATGGTTTCACGTGATTAATCTATTATTCCTAGTTAAGCTGTGAGTTTCCAACTGTTAAGGTTTAGTATTAACTTATGTATTACCTAACCACTATTCCTGAAGCTAATTCTATCCCAATTCTAACGTTAAAATATATTGCAATAAAATATCACATCTTATAATATTTTTCAAACTCATTCACAATCTTTTCATTTCCACATTCACAAGTTAGTGTTTTCTGTCAGAAATCTGACCCTAATCGAAGATACACTCATTTCTATGTTAGTTTGTGATGGTGAAGAAGATTCGTAGCTCAAGTGGGTAGAAGTTTGTGCTGATGATGTCGTTCAGAAGGACAATGAAAGCTCCACGACCAAACCATCCAGCTTAGAGAACAAACCTACATCAAAATATGTTGATTCATACACCTATTCGACTTTTATTTAGAAAAAAGTCACATCTATGAAATGACAACAAAATCGCGTGCTGTATATTGTGATAAACATAGTTCACTTTAATTTAATGTTGAGTAAACTTCACACTGAAAATAAAGTACAGTGAGTAATCACATTGAATTAAAAACGGAAGTAATGTTAAACAAAAATCAAAATGTGTTGAAAATATGTAGTTCCTCCTTTTCCTCCGTAGTATCATAATCAACCGTAATAAGTCAGTAGTCAAAGCCTTGGTTCTGTATTTGTAATATGACCCTAAAACCGTTTCTTTAATCCTGGTCAGTTCTGTATTATGCTCAAACTTAATTTTCTTTTGCTAATAAAAATCATTTGCTCACTAGTAGCTGACTTCGAGTTGGACATCAGAAGTCTTAGTGTGTGGGAAGGTATTATTGGTGCAGCTCGACCATATAAAATATAAAGCAAGTGTATAACCGATGAAACTCGATTATATTCTCATAAACATATCATGAATTGATTAAAGCTGAGAATGTGAATTATTAGGTGCCAACTTGTTAATTCCAGAGAAATAATTCGAGCTACTACATTTGATTTCGAACCATATTAGAAACTCCCCAACCTTAGGATACATTTATTGTACATCCGATGACATTTCAGTCAATACTGCTTTTTGATTTCGAAACACCCGACCTAACTCCTAGTTATTCATAGTTGCATGTAGATGATCCCTGAACATACATCACACGTGTTCCAACCACTCCGGCCTTTTATAGTTTACGTGCATTTCAATTGAATCTATGTCATGGACGTCAACAAATCTGAGTATATTCGAAGTACTTATTTTCCACAACAATTCAAACTTCAATGAATATGGTTAGTATCACTTATTCGTTTGGTGTTTTCAAACAGTTAATGCTCTCTTACAATGTCGTTCATAGTCAGCGTTTTTCCTTGGTCGAATATGTTCAACAATCATGTCGGATACCACCAAGCTATGATGATTAGATTATTTATGTTATATCCCAACTCCACCTGTAGCTCTTCTAGAGTTACTGCCGGTCCCAAGCCATGGTAAAGGAGGAGGGTTGGCCATGC